TTTTGAAGCGCAAATGTGCTAGGAGACCCAGTATCCACTGATTCATAGAGGAATACAAGAAACTTCTTCACGTGAAAATCACGGATAGCCCATTCTCTTCCACAACTATTCAGCAATAAAATGTTCCAAAAACCAAATGTCTCTGATAACCTTATCAAATTACTACGCAAAAAATGTGTTACTGAGTGACTAGACCCTACAGTAATGCTACAACTGATTAGATATAATGGAGACATTCCCAGGACTTTAACAGTTTACATGAAAGATTGAACTTCTACTACCTAAGTCAGTCCTCTTTGAGATAACTATTTTATGGCCGATTCTACGAATATGGAAAAATTTAGGTAATGAAAACCAGTAATGTTCCTAAACGAGACTCATCGGAAAGTATCTAAAGACTATCAACCATTTCACGCTTGATATTTTTGCCTGTGTCAGTTATTCCCTACCAATGTAGAATGAAAACCATCAACATTCCTCTCTTCAGTGAAAAACAAGGTAGCAATCAAAAAGTGCACCCGTTGTTGTTCTGTTTGCAAATCAGTGGTATTACATAGCAACTATTCTATCGAACAGCTACTACCAACACAGCGATCATGGTGTAAATCTATCGGTGTCACAATGTGCACTATACGTGGATAGGTACCTACTCCGCAATGTTTTGCACCTTCCCATCACGACCTAGCACTCCACCCATCTGCATACTATACCTGCACCTCTTCCTCTTGACTATTGCACTCCGTTTACACATTTAGTGACCTTTAGACAAGTCTAGAGCCTCATAAGCTTTCCTATCCTCAGATGCGTTATTCATCTGCGAATGAATAACAAAATCACATCCCATTCTCGACTGTCCATACTCACCACCAACAATGTGCAGTGTAACTCTTTCTCTATCATATCACTTTAACACTATCGTATGATATATTTCACCATTGCTAGTGCTCCCTGCTGTTCTGTATACCATCTCTACCTACTGGCCAAGTTACTCCTCATACTTTTTATACTTATGGTCTCATCATCGCCATTTCATCACTATGGCATCATTATTGTTATATAAGCGGTTTAATTACCCATGTTTGAGGTCTGGTATCGTTATAACAATGAAGGGACCTGAGTGGTAGGATTGAACGAACGAGCAATTTCACTACATATAATGTAAGAATGGCATATGTGGTGCTAACAAATCTTACTTACTTATTTGATACTTGAATGGCCCGTCATCACTAGTTGTTCAGGCCCCAGCATTATCACCATTCTGCGGAGATTTGTTGGGTAAGCCATTGTGGTTCCCTGCAATCCCGAGGACAGCCTGGCCAGTCTGCCCTAGACCTTCACCACCACACGCAGTCGCAGTCCTCGTGGACGAGAGGGAGATTTGCCACCATGCGACTTTGATAGCAGTACGGTAGTGGATCCTGGTATTGGTTTACTCTTAGCTAGGCTTCCTTATCTAAACGCCGGAGTCCTTCTTAGCTTGGTGGAACCTGCCAGGGGATGAATCCCCGGCTGTACATCGCAGTCCGACACTCAGGAACGCCTCCCAACCACGATGAAGCGGTAAACCGTTGGGAGGAGTAACTCTGATTTAATAGTGTTCATTCCTGAATATTATCAAATCAGAGATACTTAAATCAAATAATACAAATACCAAGTATTTAGTTAAAATGGTGAAAGCATATAACAATACAATTAGTAACGTAGAATCCAAAAACTCGCTTGCAATAGGTGAATGCATTATGGATGTTGTTCAAAATAAAGTGAACTGTGCAAATTAGGAGGCCATTTTATAATAATTTTATCTTTGAAAATATAGCTTTAATAGGAGGCGTCTCTACAGAAAGATAGAGGATGAACTTAGATTTCCGAATCGAAGACCCTAAATCAAGCCCATAAGAGAAACCAAAAGCTTTCAAGTCAATTTAAAAATCTTCGCTGTACGTTTTAATCAAGAATAATGTAGGAAATGAACGATTTTCTAGTAAGCAAAGTAGGTAAACAACTAAAGCAGTAACAATATCCTTACCTTATTGACAAACGGTAGAAATTATCAGCTTGAAATGTTTATATATGACAGTGAAAAGAAGTTTGAGGTGCTTCGAAAGTAAAATTTCTTCAGTTAGTCAGTCAAATGACTTTGATCCAGCCTAATATTGGTAGACTAATCTAAACAAATAACTTCAAGGTTTGAACGATATTTAATTGGACTTTACGCACATATTTGATGTATCATAAAATAGGCTCCCAACGGTTTCCACCTCATCATGGCTAGGTGTTCTTGGGTGTCGGACTGCGATGTACAGCTGGTAGATTCGTTCCCTCGGCAAGGTCTCCCAAGCTGAGGAGTCTAGAGTTTCTATCAGGAAACTTAGCTAAGAGTAAACCAATACTGGGACCCACCACCGTCTTGGTATCAAACTCGCATGGTAGTAAATCTCCCTCTGATCCACAAAGCCTGCGACTACCTGTCGTGGTGACGACCTGGGGCAGACTTTGGCTATTAGATATCTAAAAAATGGTGATTATGCTGGGCCTTCACAACTAATGATGACGGGCCGTTCAAGTATCAAGTAAGTACCATAAAATAGCATGAAGACGATTTTTCTGATGATCTTTATATCTCGGAACTGCAAGCAATATTGAAGGCATTACAGCAGCGTAAACGATTGCGGTGAACGCACAGAAGTAGGGCATATGTTTTCACCTTCTCGCCTCTATTACTAGGAACAACTTATGTTGTTTTTCTGATCAGAATACCGAACATCAAAACATGTACATGTAGTACTCGAACTCAATAAAGAACTACGTCTTGATCACAACCACTTAATGAGCTGGTTTCCCTAAGGTTTAAAAGTTTCAACAAAATTGTTCCGTACGACGTGACTTCAATGCATAATTAGCCAAGGATAGGTTCTTAGATCCATAGTGCATAGTGCTTGCGTCAAATGATTATACAAAAGCCCTATACTACAAAATGAAGCGGTCCAGTAAAAAGGACAAAAGTTTGAAATTACCATTGAAGAGGGCATAAGGTCCTTCTGGTCTTCGAAAGGTGTTTGTTGCTGCGGAAGTTTCGTCATTTGTTGACACAAAAGGACCTCCGCTGAAAGATAACTGTTTAGTTCACAAGAGGTTATAAGAGGTTCGCCCTATATCTTTCAAGATAAAAGTCATGGAAAAGTTGTTACTACTTTACCAGACTTTTAGAGAAAGAGATTTAGTATATGTGAGTTATAAAACAAACGATTTGCGGCGGCGCTGATTTTCCAGAAATCTTCAATGATTTCCTAACAAAAACATTTGGAGGGTCGAGGACATTACACTCAAGAAAAAGCAACCACGTTGCTTTAAACGTAATTTTGATTTTTTTAGAGCTTGAATTCCATTTTCAAAACCATTTGAAAATCAAATTTCCGGAAAATTTCAAATCTTGAAATTTCTAAGGTAAGCCTTGCAGCCGTGAATATCAACGCTGTTCTTTCGGAAACCACTGCGTTCCGCTGTCCGAAATCCGGCTAATTCAATTTATTCGGATATCAATTATTTATTATTTGAAATACGTGTCTTGTCGGGCGGAACGCAAAAGAAAAACAAAAAAAGGAAAACAGAAGAAAAAATCACTTGTGAGCTCAGTCAAAATCTCATTGTAATGGAATAAAACTGGTGTTTTGTTGACAAAGTCTTGCAGATAACAAAAGTTTTATAGTTTTATTTATAGCAGTTTATAGTTAAAAGTTTTATAGCAGTTAATAAAGTTGTTCACTACGAGCTCAATAGGGGTCAACTGTCTAGAGTTGAAAGTCGAGATAGTTTTCCGGCATGGACACACTGAAATCGCTCTTATAGCAACGTGGTCATTTTTTAAGGCTCCTATTAGTGAAGAATTTTATGAAGAACTCGACTACCACACTAGCAACGGATCAATAATATATTGGAAAGCAATAACGAACGAGTGGTAACATACTGTTGGAATGCTGTGCAGGGTCCTAATGAAGGTAGAGGAATTGCTGTCACTGGCGGCAGATGCAGAAGTTGGTTGGAAAATCCATGCGGAAAACTGCTGTATGGTGGAGGGGCCGTTAAATTCACTTGAGGAAGAGGAGGAGAAGCGGAGAATGGCGCCCACGAATGCGTAGCAAGAGTTACCTGGAATACAGTGGAACAGTGTACAGTGTAAAATTCCTGTACCAGCCTTCATTTAACTTGTCACGGATAATCAATACAGTAGTTTAATGGTGAGTTTACATGATGTTGTTGCAAATCTTTGATAGCTAACGATTCGGTGCCATTGCCCTCCTCTGATTCAATTTATATTTCCACACTAGTGGTTCTTTGCGGTGTGAACCCAAAAAGTAGTCATATAAATTACAGAAGAGTGGGCTAGACCACTGCACGAGTAAAGTAACGTCTCCCACCATTGTCATTTAATACAAAAGGGTTCTCTCCGCTGGAATAACCTCAAGTCACTTAACAGTTCACCAAGGTACAGGACGGTACTTGATCTATTGTCATTTAGAACACAAAGATCTCCAAATCGAGAGGAACAACTACTGTGGTTACATAAATCAGTGCGGCTCTAAAGGCAATGGTGCGGAAAAGTGTTAGTCAAAGTAAAGTAAAGAATTATAATAGTATCAAATAAGCTCGTTGAAGAACCAAGACAGCATATATTATGTTCAATATTGCACTACTTTTTCTACCTTTAAGACTAAGTGCTAACATAAAAACACTAATCGATTTTTATGCAGACTACCAAATAAAATACATAACCATCGCCTTTGAAACAGGCTTACTTATGACAGTATTCCAATCCTAAACCAATAGCTGAAATGTAAAAAACCGAGCGACGCAATATCTAAAGGTGTTGCTGTTGCTGTTGCCGTTGCCACTCTTACTACTTCGATATCATGTGATCGACCAAGAACAAGTCAGAGGAAATCTCTAGCAATATTTCCAGACAATAACTGGTTAAAAAAACGTGAAAAGTGAAACTGATTAGACTAAATATTGCCAACATTACTGATCACCGGCGGCGGTTGCGTGAGGTCCGGCAGAGGAATACTCGGAACTCCTCGAAACGCTGGCACATTCGGTGGCGGGATGGCGACGTTGATAGGTGGCGTTCCAATCGCATGAGAGTATTGTTGCTGTGTTGTAACAACCGAAGTCAAAGGACTAAACAATCAATTTAGTAACTACCTGTCCAAATTTGAAGACACCTACGAACCAGTTTCATTCCTTCATGTCATCTCCAAGTTGTTATTGCATGATGAGTGACAACACAATCATTACAATTATCATCTCAAAAGGTTTAGAAATCCGAGAAAGACATGTTTTTCCCTTGAGTGAGGACTATCAAATACACAGTAAAACAAAAAACAGAACTCGACTTTTACTTCAAGATATGGTAGCAGCAAGTGGTTAAGTGACAAAACCTGCGATAAACTACGTAACAGACAAGCAAACAACTAACCTACTAACACCAACTTCAGTTGTGTTAGACGGTAGAACTGCTAGAGTTTCTTCTATACTTTCATCAGAAATTCCACCAGACTTGATATATGAGTCCAAGAAGGATTCCGTAATAGTTGTCGGAACATTGTACTCCGTAAGAATGTTGTGTACAGTTGCCTCATCACGCTCGAAAACCTTCTTTAAATTACTGAAAGCGCATACAATTTCCTCAAAAGACGAACGAATTCACATACAGAGAATACGCAAACAAATATAAATGGTGGAGACAAAACCCACGTGTAATCAGCATGAACCATCTTTCTATGTAGCTCTGCTTCACGAACAAGAAACAAAAGCTTTTCGATTGTGTTGTAAACATCGCTATCACTTACTAAACCAATCTATAAATGGAAATATTTGATGCCTACGAACAACTTCACTGCTAGCCCAAATAAATAACAACTGGAATACCTTAGTAGCAAGTACCGTGACAGACTCAGCCTTGAGTCTATCGAAAGACATGCACGGACGACGATGATGGCCACGATAACGTCGCGCAAGGTCAACATCTTGGTTAACGGCGCTAGACTTCCAGATTTCCGAAACTCTAAACACCTTCGGTTATATTCTAATAAGGTCACTCCGATCAATTTCTGATTACTAAGACAGATATTTTCAAATGGGCCTCAATTAAGTAAAAGAATTATCCTCGTGAGTAAGTACTACTAGATACCAGCATTTTAGACAGTTTTTTAAAATTAAGAATGCTGTCCCGTTAGTTCATGCACATGCTCTCTATCAATTTTCCCCTCGACAAATCTTTTTTTTATTTGTTTAATGACTATTTTGCTCTTGAATTATTCAACAAACCCTTTGAAGTGTCGCTGTGGAAAAATATAAGTTCGGTTAATAATTTCCGGAGCTAATCAAAAACTAATTCGAAGATACATCTCCGGTAACCAGAACTAACGGGGTATTCGTAGTGAGATAGGTAGCACAGTGGTGAAAAGGAGATCTTCATGAGCATGGTAGTGCTTTGGCACGCCCGGAATCACCAGGCTTCTCAGCTCTCAGGCCAGAGTCGAGTAAGTGGGAGCAGACTTACCTGGAAAAAGCTCACTCTCTGCAATTCAAGTAGGAACACCTTTGCATGGCAACCCAGGGACTCCAGGGAGAATCGAATAGACAGCTTCAAACTCATGACAAAGAGAAGGGGCTCAATGGGCAGCCGAACCCGAATGCAAAAAGTAGGAAAACTTTCTTGAAGGATGGATTTGAGGAAACGAATCAGTACTGGATCCATACAGATGTGAGAGGCGGGTCTTGTAAAACAAATCAGTAAATAAACGGCAATAACAAATAGCAATAATAGTAGCAATTTCAGCCAACAGTAACTAACATAATTAATGAACGCTGAGAAACAGTAAACAAGTAGATTAAGGACTTTTTATATAAACTGGAATTTTGCCGCATGCCAAAGGCTTGCGAACACAGGCTAAAGAACCGTTAAAGATGGAAATGGCAAGAGAGCCGCTTCAAATGATCACTGACAAAAGAAGAATGTCAAGGTCAAAAATTGTAGCGAATGATTTGATATCATCGACCGATAACTACTCGACATCAACTGAAGCCCACTCCTCGACGGCGGCAAATCCACTGGAATAACGGTAAGTCCGAAGAATATTTAGAAACTCCCAAATCGAATTGAGAATTAAGAATATAACACTCCAGAGATGGCCGGCGTATAAACTAAACGGGAAGTAGAGACCACTGCAAAACTTTCTGTGCGTCTTTGTGTAATAAAAACAATCTTATGATTTCATCAAGTACGATGGAAAGTGAACCCTCTACGACAACCAACAACTTCCTTGAAAACTTGCTCACACGGAAAAAATCCACGATAACTTCCTGGATTTTGGCCAGACCACTCTAACAAAGTAGTATCGGGAATTCTAAAAAAAAACATAGTGCAGGCGACGGCTATTCACTGATCGAAAGGAATTAATTCTGCTACACGAAAATGCCCTAGCATATGACGCTTGTTGTTAAAATTGGACGAATGGGGTTACGAAACCTTGCTTCCTTCATAACATTCCTTTTCAAAAGTAAATTCAAAGGCAAGACAGTGCTTTCTTCTTAAACAGATACGAGGTTGTAAATAACAAGATTTATTCAAAAATGTACCTGACATTTGGACGGTTCCGCCTTCTTCAAAGCCCTGAAAGATCAAATTGACATGAAATCCACTCCATAGAACACCTTCACAATGGAATGCATACATTGCTTTTCCTGCTTAGGTTATGGAAATATTTGGTTGACCAGATTGTAATCAACTTGACCATTCTAGGGTCTGAAGATTGAGAAACCGTTGAAACATCAGCCATTATTGAATAAATCTTCTTAGTAATAACTTCGTATTAGCCCAAGAAGAAAAATTGCTTTACGGTACACTGCCGAGGTTAATAGGTCGGTACGGAAAAATTCTACGTGATGTGTCACTGTTAAGAATCCATTCAAAGTACTCGATGAGTGTAAATGACTGGACATTAACGACAAAGAAGTAACGGAATAAACGAACTTATATCTCATTGGTAAAAATGTGTGAACTGAAACAGTTCTATGTATGCCAAAAGATTTGCGCTCTCCAGATCAATCCCGTTGACGGGTGACTGTTTGATGGCACTAGCAGCTACAAAACTTGTTGAGAGAAAGGCGAAAGGAAGGGTCCGCATGGTATGGTGGTGAACGTGTTAGCCCCCGGAAAGGGTAACAGCGTATTCGGCCTCCACCGCAGACACCTGCTGTCCGGAGATTTGTAGATACTTCAGCATCATTATGTCAATAGAGTTTACTATGATCTGAGACATACTCATGAGGAACGGTTACTCAGTCCTCACTCGCGGAACCTGGGATTTTTCTTATTTCTTGTGTTTTCACTTTCCCATACAAAAGATAGGAAAGAATAGAGTAACAAAAACAGCTGCTGTTTCAGTTAAAAACGTAAACGATCTCCTGCGAGAGGACGTGCGCAAGAAACCCGACATAAGACAACTGAGGAGCCATGACTGAATTCTTCTTATCTACAACGAGAAGAAATGATCTAGTGAACTTCTCGACGATGCATACATTGCTCTACATGTTTCTTTAACATAACGACGAATAGAAGATTAGCATGGTTAATAACCATAAAACACGTACAGTAGAACAAAACAATATTACAAAAGAGAAAAAATGTAGCTGACTAGATAGAAGTGACTTACGACTATTTCTAGAATTTTATGGTCGAAGAGTAAAGCAATGAGCTATGAGGTGTTAATGGAGAAGAATAGACAGTAGCGAATTTCGAATCTCAGTTGTAACACGGGTTCAAACTGTCCTGGTGGGACTTTTAAACAGTACTCTTCCTCTATTTCAACTTGGTTTTACATAGTGGCATCATTCATATGAAAATCAAACATTGCAAACAGAAGATGATACCTACTTAATGTTTTCCCAGACGTCGTTTTACGGTGGGCTTCAACAGACCTTCCTGTGTAAATATTCGATACATTCACAAGAAAGAATGAACTTCCACAGTTAAAAAAAGAAGTGCAAACCCTTTTCAATCAGAGGAACATGGACGAAACCCTTTTCTACGAGACTGATATTCTGATGGAGACTAGAACCGGCTTGTTGAAGAAATAAGAAACTACGCCGAAACAGAACTCGATTTGCCGAAGATCAAAATTTTGATGTTTTGTTTTGTTTCGACTGCAATATATTTCACATAGCTGGCAAGAGGTGCTATCTGCTGACATGTCAAGAACAAGAGTATAAAAGGGAAAAAACGTTCTAGGCAAGAACGGAAATGGTCATAATCTCAAAAGAAGGTATTGCTGAATGATGCTGAGAGACAAGCGAAACGAAGGATTCGCATGTGGTGGTGAACGTGTTACTCCCCGGAAAGGACAATAGCGCGTTCGTTCCCACCGCAGACACCTGCGGTCTGGAATTTTGCAAATATCTCAGCATCATCGAAGTTATATTTCGCAATGTATCCTGCCATTAAAAAGAGAAGTAAATAAAACGGTTAAGAACGTACTTGGTTTGCAGCACTGGTGAACGACTTAGGTGGTCCCAATCTCCTTCTTTGACACAACTTAGATACTTACATGGCCCGCTTTCATGTAGACTGCAGACCACAGAACTTCCTCCATTCTTTTCTCTACCTTGCAGCTCTCATCCGTCCGGATACTTGATTGCATGAAGGAGTTCAGCAGGGGTTAGAGAACTTGTTATTTCGTCTTCTCAATGACACCATGAAATTTGTTCAAGCGTCGATTTCACAGGAATCCCATAACAGCTTAGCATGGCTATGCCGTTACCAGATCATCATCACAGGAAATCACTTGCCATTGTGGATCGGATAGAGGTTTGCTACAGAACGACTACGGCTCTCTGAGCGCAGCAACAACGATCGTAAAGTCGCAATAATCAACTGTGCCGACGAATCTAGAGAACAATAGAAAGCCGAAGAAGCTCAGCAAATGAATGCCATGCGAACTTAATGACAATTAAAGAAACATCGTTTCCAAGTATCGTCAGCGCTTCTTTTGGATGGAACGACATGTTCCTCAATAGTATAAAGACATCCAACAATAACTTAATAACTATAGACAATAGGTGTAGTATTGGACTCCGAAGCTTCGCAGCTCTTCCCAAAGCCGAAATTGCACCAAAAGCAGGTCATGCTAACCATTTGGTGGTTTGCTGCTGGTTTAATCCATCACAACTCCCTCTTCAATGCGGGTGAAACGGTTAAGACGGAGATGTACGCTCAGAAAATCGACAAAAAGTACCAGAAATGGCAACGACTGTGTACTTATTGGTCAACAGAAAGAAATCGTCCTCCACGAGAACGTAGGGCCACACATCGGACTACCTACGGTGCAGAACTTGGATGAGATGAGCTACTCGACTTCATCTACCATATTAGCCGCACTTTTCGCCTACTGACTTCTTCAGACATTGATTACTTTCTGTGTAAAAATGCTTCAGATACACCAAGCCACGGCCCAAATCGCCTTCAACAACTTCAGCGCCTCCAGAAGGCTAGAATTTTCAGCGACTGGTAGAAACAAACTTGCTTTTCACTAGTCAAATGCGTATGTTCTAACAGTTCTTATTTCGATTAACAAATTTATTCCGCACTCAGATATGTCATCTTAAAAATATAGGCTGAAATCTGACATTCATTTCCGAATAACACGCATAAGATACTGAAGAATGAAAGGTAAACATGTACTGCTCTTCCGTTATGGAATTTTATGCGCACGCAGAGTGCTCGTTGAAGAGGATAAATGATTCGAATAAGAAAATGTTGTGCTCGGAAATCGTCTAGAGTCATTTTTGGCCTCTTAAGGAAGCATAGTCTCACTCGAGGACACAGAACTTCATGCTCATCTACTCAAATCGACAATTCTTTTGAGTGACGCTGGAAAGTTCTCGCACTCCCCTTGAAACTCAACCGTGAATCTCTTTGA